GGCTACCCGGAGCTACCGCGACGGCATTGGGACGTTGCTTTTCAGTTAACTGCTTTTTGACAGCCTCCTGCATTGTCTGCTGAATTGCGCCCTTCATTTGATCCTGCAGGACACCGATCATCTCATGTTTGATTGCCTGCTCCTCCTTCTTAGTTTTCGGTCTGGTTTCATACTTGATGTTGAACTTGAGGCTGCGTGCGTCGATTTTGGGCCCCTGTACCGTCTGCTGTTTCTGCTTCTCGGCTTTGGCTTTTCTTGTGAATTCCTTATAGGCTACTGCGTTCTAGAGGATCAAAATAGCAATTAAAAGCTGCCTAAGAAACGAGCGGGGGGAAAAATAAGTGTTTTGATTCGAACTTAGTTGTGAAACGGGACTGCGATTGTTGAGCCATAGGGTGCTTGATTTCTGCCTTTTTCAAGGGCGGGATTAACCTTATACCCATTGAAACGAGCGTAATAATCCGAGTGTTGTTTGTTTCAAATAATGTTTGCAACCTTACCTAAATGACGTAGAAGACATAACGTCAGTTTTTAATTTTTAATGATCGTCTAAGAAAGACAGAGTGATGAAAATTAATTTTACTATCATTGGACTGCTTTTAATTTGCAAAACTTTCCATTAGAAAGTTCAGAAGAGCACTTGGCGAACATAACTAAGCTTCCGATAAATCCTCATCGGGCCATTCTCGCGCACACTTTTGATTCCGGACATCGTGTGAACTCCAACGAAGCATTCCGGATGATTTATGAGGCCTCGTTAAACTACCCCCAAATTCCTGGGTCAGCGCCTATTAGCAGCAGCAGCAGCAGAAGCGACCACTATCAGGTTGAGGAAGGTAGTTTTATGTGCACAAAAGAACATCCTACAAGCTCCGCGCCTGGTATAGCCAACGGTCGCTTAACTGCATGCACTCGTCCGCGCTCTCTCTTCTTCTACCTCTTCCCTCCTACCTCTGAACCGACCCCACCAAACTCTCCCCTCCGCGTAATCAGCCCCTCCCCCTATCCTCACGACTCACTTTTATGAAAAGAAAACAATTACTGACCGCATTTTTTAGCTTGTACTCTCTTCCCATATAAATGTACTGGTCCGATGAGAATTCATCGAGAGCTTATGTATGATGGCCAACTGCACTTCTGAATTTTCCTATCATTCTTCAAAGTGGGGTTTGCACAGCGTACTTTTTGGAACAAAAAGCTGACATTTTGTAGGTGCTGGAGGTTGTAAAACTTACTTCAATTTACTTCCCTTCATACGTGAAACTAATAATATGCGGAAATAATTAGCATACCTGGCATGCGGAACCAGAATATTTGTGTAAAATAAACCTACGCCTCCGAAGAGCAAAACATGCCTTTAACCACGGAAATATTTAATCATGTTAGAGAACAATAACTAATTCCGATGAAGCATTTACAAGTAAGGTTCTGTTAGTCTAAGGCTGGAAAAATATTTTTTGCAGTTATGAGGATCTTAAAGCACTAGCATTATTAGACGTACTTAAACAGTGAACTCCCTTGAAAAATTTATGCAGCTGGCTCGCTTAACAAACCCTGTAATTAGCACCTCCACCCAAGCCCGCTTCCCAGGCCGTTACCAGGTTTTTTTTAAATCCATATAGACCTTTAGACCCAGGTGCATCTTAAAACTATTGCTACCTCCGCGCGACGGCTCCGTTTTATGGGTTTTATTGATTGCCCGCCAAAGCTATTTATGAATTACCGGCTTGGTGGGACACGCCCTAAATGTGTCTTCTCTGTATAAGCGTTCACTATTTTATTCATAGCTTTACTCAGATGAATATCTTTAATTGGGTGAGGCACTTCACACAGATGGAAGAAAATTATAGCGGCATAATTTGTTTTCAGTTGTTGGACTAAATCAGCACTCAGGACAGCCGTTGTTGGCTTTTCGAATTTAACAAATACTGCTGCCGATTAACATGCTTAGACTTTCAGCCAAAGCTAGACTTCCTCCTCCACCTCCTAGAATTCAAATATTAAGACTTAAACTTACAGCAGCAAAAGACAGTTTGGTGAACGTACGTTTGCTCTCAATAAATGTTCGTGAGCTCGTTATTTCACGTGCATAGGCCTACCTAAACAGCTGTGATTGACTGAAAGTCACTCTTTTTTTCTGCAAACGTTGAATGCCTCTTTTCGAGTGGTAGTACGCTTTGCCGCCAAAACGCTTTTATTTTTTTGCAAAGGTGTTGCACAC